GATAGATAGATAGATAGATAGATAGATAGATAGATAGATAGATAGATAGATAGATGAGGAGATAGATAGATAGATAGATATGCAGATAGATAGATAGATATATAGATAGAGAGATGAAGAGATAGAGAGATAGAGAGGTAGACACTTTCAGATTTATAGATAGATAGATAGATAGATAGATAGATATATAAACATATAGATAGATAGATAGATAAAGAGGGATAGATAGATAGATAGATAGATAGATAGATAGATAGATAGATAGATAGATAGATAGGTAGATAGATCGATAGATAGATAGTTAGATAGATAGACAGATAGATAGATAGATAGATAGATAGATAGATAGATAGATAGATAGATAGATAGATAAACAGATAGATAGATAGAGATAGATAGATAGATAAATAAATAGACAGATAGATAGATAGATAGATAAATAGATAGTCTGGTTGATAGATAGAGAGATAGATAGATAAATAGATAGTCTGGTTGATAGATAGAGAGATAGATAATATATAGATAGAGAGAGAGAGAGAGAGAGAGAGAGAGAATGGGATAGATAGATAGATAGAGAGAGAGAGAGATAGAATATACATGTAAAAACCCCGAAATGAGAGTAGCCTTATCTCAAATTTGGTACCTCGTGCGTGGTGTTGATTCAATGATGATGTCAACCTCTACCCCCACCCCCTCCAAAAATAAAAAACAACAACACCCAGTCTTTTTATTAAAACTATAAGACATCTAGGATATAGAGAGATCTAGATCTCGAGTCTTGCTCTAAAAAGAAAAAACAAAAAAACTACGCACCAAATATGCGCCAAATCTTAGAAAGGCAACACACGTAGTAAACATTTTGTGAGTCTAAACGAACTCAACATGTTGATTGCAGGACTACACCAAATGTGAGGCAGCGTGGTGGAATCAGGCTCTCGTCAATGTTTGGGCATGTAGAGTTATTGGTATCATCTTAAAGCTGTTTCACTTGTGTTTATTTGGATGAAAAAAATATCCATTTATCTTGAATACAAGTCAAAATATTTGCGAATGAAGGAGGTGGGGGTCGCCTGTTTTCAGAGGTAAAATTAGTGAGAAATAGGCCGTCAAATATTAGTTATTTCCTTAGCTTAAGAGTCCATGGTAACTGAAAAGTTACATTTTTTGTGCCTTTAATCAGCGTTTTTCAGACAAATCCACACAGAAATGAGTTTTTATATGGGCATGAAAGGTGTTGAGCCAAAAAACAAAAATTTGATAAAAATTCACAAACCAGCAGAAAAATGCAAGTTTCTTAACTTTGATTATTTTGACGAGAGCCTGATTCCACCACGCTGCCTCACAAATGTATCTAGAAAAAGTCAATACAATGAAGTTTGACCAATAGTGTCCATCGACACTGTGAAGCACACATCCAAACAGAGTTGGATATCGAGATTCTAGATCTGGAAATAGTAGAAGTAGCTGTCTGACACACATGACGAAGCAGGAACCGAAACGGAAGTAGTCCCCAGTAAAATATAAAATGGCTAATGGCAGAATGAAAACACCCGAGAGCATTGATTTACAGGGAAAAAACATCAAACCTGTAAAATCAAAAGGTATTTTCCGAACTTATAAAATACGCCCACGTAACCCTTGTGACAATTCTTAACTTAATCAAATTTTGTAGATTGTATGGGCACATGTTTAATATAAAAGTATACTGACCTCACAAACGGGCGTAGCCCCATTATAATAAGATTAATATCGTTCCCCACAAATAGAAGAGAAGGTCAAAACAAGTACTCATGTTGGTGTATTGGCAAGGGTTTTTATTACAGTATTTTTCATTTTCTTTCTTTTTGTTCGGAGGACGTGAGGAAAGGGGAGGGGGTG